TCTTTTATATATTTTGTGACGTACATTCCGTTTCTTCGTTATAGCAATATTTCAATAATTTTACTTGCTGGTCTAGTCTCTTATTTGCAAAAGATAATACAGGAACTCTAGTATATCCAAGCCTTTTGATTAAGCGTATTTATTTCCTTAATTACTATAAATATTCTTTTCTTTCAACACCTTTGCCTTTTTTACGATAGATAAGCCGAAATCAAATATTAATTAATATTATTTAGAAGCTATCACGCGCTTTTTAAGTACCTACTCTATATTGTTATATCTTGGATAACGTAGTTTAAAAATTGACGAGGTTTGATCACTAGGTTACTATCCGATATTATGATTAAACACACAGCACGAAAATCCAGTTGTTTATCGATATCGTTGCGGGATCCCTGTTATAACTATTCAAGGTTGTGCCACATACAGTTATCTCTCAGTCACGGTATCTTGAAGATTTGGTCAATGAGTTCTGATATCGTGACAATGTAATAAACAGAAGGCATACTCTACATAATACGAGTATGTAGGAAAACGAAATCTTTACATATAAAACAAAGCTGCGATAAAACTCTTCAAGAGCCGAACTGATTTTATGCATTTTTTATATAAGTATATAAGTCATATTTATCATGACATAATATTCAATCGTAAATGCTTGTAACAGGCTACATTGTGAAAATCTATGCCATGGATTCGCAAATATAAGGCGTAATCGAGTACTCCGTGAGGACTATGATAATGATGTCTTGTGTGATATAACAATGTAACTGGAGACGAGGTAGCCACTATACCCTATGCGTAAATTAGGGCAAAATGTAAAGATCTCAATCATCTGATACTTTTAAACTTTCGCGTTGCATTATATTAGATTGTTTGAAACGGGTATTAATTAACGCGATAGATTGATAGTTAGATTTTCCACCTAGCTATATTTCCCGACTTTTCGACCGTGTTACAACTTTATTACTCGATAAGAATTTTATTACACGACGAAATTGATCCTGGGATAAATGAGAAATTGTCTTCTGTTCAATTGACCATGACTAATAAGTAACGATCTTCGTATCTATACTAATATTATAAAGAGGAAAGATTTGTTTTTTGGCTACGAAACCACTAGACCGATTTTAAAAATTATTTTATACATTATACGAGGTTGACATACGCTTTAATTTATGCGTGCGCAGTCGCGGGACAACATCTAGTTATTTATAAAATTTACAGTTTCATATCTCCTTGACTAAGTATCTAATGCCTCTGTTCTACTTGTATTGTTTAGTTAAGTGCAGTTGAGACGAAAACACCTGTTCATTTATGATAATTTATTGGTTGAGGATAAAAGGAAACTAAATGTTAAAGAAATATGTAAATAAGTGTGATTCAGCCACACTTATGCGTTTTAGTATGTCGATGATATAAGCAGATTGTCGCCACGCGGATACTGCAGTTCCTGCTTCCTGTTTACTAAGACCGTTGAGTAATCGATAATGTAGTAATTTTTTTAAATCGATTTATATTTATAACGGGGCTCTGTCGTAGGTTTTGTTTGTAGGAACAGTAGATTAGATCATTTGCACCGATAGTCAAAAGTTTTGAATCCATACATCCATCCATAAATTTACACTGAGACTGCACTTAGTATTAGTCAAAATTCATATTATTAAACAGCGACTTAGCTAAAGTTAACCTAGACGAGGCTACGGAGGTTCTAAGGTAAGGTTTTAAGGGAGTAATATTTACTCCTAGACGTAGTAAGTAGGTTTGATTATTCTCTGTATAATATGAATTTGGACTAATACTAAAATTGCAATTTTAGCGTAAATTCACTCTGACTCTAAATCTTGTTTATTAATAGCATTGCTAAGGTATAAATTTAATTATCATTTTGAATAAAAAAAGCATTCTGATATCTAGAAATCCGCTAAAGACATTTTCATTAAGATTGGACAGTCATAATTGAACTTTCACGCATAGCATGACGAGCTCTAAAGACTCGAGAAAGGGGTCAATATAGACCAAGATGAACTCAAGTATATTTTCAATACTCAAGATAAAGCGAGAAATCGTATTAACGCACACGAGAAGTGACATTTAGATCTAGACAAAACGCGTTTCTCGAGATCATCATGCTAGCGCGGTGGTTGGATGTTGAAATCGCTAAACGTTCAGGGATCAACATAACTCTTTTACAAAGCTCGCATTCTTCTAGACGTTACTATCATGTACCTTGTATTTCTCGAGTTCCTGACATTTCGGCGCTGTTTCAAGTGCCATGTTCACGGATTAACTGAAGTTATTTTCAAATATCGATCTACCTTCTTTCTATTGTTCCTTCTATTTCTTCCTTTTCCGTTTAATGTAAGGGACGTTGTTGTAATCCCGTATAAAAAAAAAATTGTAATGTTAGTGACCATGAAAGTTTAAAACAACATATTACTTGAAATTCTAGGATCAATATATTGTAATGCACATGATGTGTAATCGTTTATTTATGTGTCTGAGCCGAGGGCAAACGTTGTGTTTGGCACACTTACTCATTGGCTACAAATGTTATACATTATACTTACTTACTTGAAACAAGATTTCCAACGATAATTGACAGCTTCAAGTGGTCGAACCCAAAGCTCTTTTGAATTGCGGAAGGTTCCGGGCTCTGTTGTTATTTATTATCTTTCCGAGTAGCTAGGTGGCGTAGTGGATAAGCGCTGCGATTCGCGATCGTTATTATTTCGAAGGGTCGGTCACGGGGTGGGTGAGCAAAAAATTATCATCTCGAGTTACTCCGTGCTTCAGAGGGCACGTTAAGCCGTTGGTCCCGCTGCATTTGTAGTCGTTAATACCCTCCAATACGCATTGAGCCAACGTGAAGGTTGATGGCACATCCATAAGGAATGCTGAGCTCCTGCAGTGGGAACATAAAAGGGCTGATGATGATGATCTTACTGCCAGCGGCCTCGTCTGCGTAGTTCTGTATTATAAATATAAACCTTCCTCTTGAATCACTATGTATTGATGAAAACCGTATTAAAATCGGTTATGTAGTTTTATACTATGTATTTATAATGTTCAATCAAATAGTAGAACATTATGTGGTTTGTATAAACAATTATAAAAAAAACAGCTATTAATTTAAAAAACATCAGCTTACGAAGCTCTATAAATATTGAGATTACACAATTTTTTTTAATAAAATATAATGTATATTGCAATATTTTATTTATGTCGCAGTCAAGTGGTATAATCAGCCGAACAATTGGAAGATTAGCCCTTTAATTGAATGCCACCATTCAATTTAATTGAAGGGCTAGCCGCCCAATTGGTCGGCTGATTATACCATTTGAAAAGGCCCTTGTTAACTTCTGATTTGATGTGAAATCCATCCACTCACTCTCTGTCCAATGCTGCTTCATGTACACCGATTAAATTCATTTTAACCTACCCATTGTTTTCCATTAAACAATAGATATTAAGGTGGTTAATAAGATATCTTAATTTTTTGACTAGATTATAAAAAAGGTGACTAATATTAGGAACAATTAAATTTGGAAATGTACTTTCAAAATACATGATTTCACACGCATATTAAGTCTCTTGGTTACGGTGGTATGGTGTTCAAACAACTCTTATGGAAATGAATTTAGGTAGTGTAAGGATAGTAAAGAAAGCTTTAATTCTTAATTTATTGCATTTATACACTATTAACATAAACGAAAATAATTCGGTCATGGCAACTGTTTATTTCAGCTATTTCTACTCATGGCGCGTGTTAAACTATAAAATTGTTTTAACTGGGAACTCTTTTAAACACGGCTAACTGATGAGAGGCTTGCAATATTATCATAAATAATAGCTTGCCCACTAAGGTACCATGTGGTACTCTTGTTTTGAATCTTTTGAATGCTTTACTGGTGCCTTTTTTTCGTTCAGCTTCTAATTTGTTGATGTGAAAACAGCTCCATCATAGGCTACACTTCTTGTTTTGGACGTTGATAAATAGGAACTGACGGAAATATAAATAGGATGGAAATGACGCAATGAAAGATTATATTAAATTCTGCATTCAGTGCGTGTTAATTGTAGATGACAATTAGTAAAATATTGTCGAGTGATTGTTGTTAAGTTTCGAGTTCGGCAGTAAATTATTTTTACTCAATTAGATAATTTGTATCATCTTCTCATTATCTTTGTGTTAAATTCTAGTGTAGATTAATAAATATTGACAGTTGCGATTGAAAACTAATACTCTGTTGGTTAGGATACGTGGAAAGTATGCCAGAAGTTAAAATAATTAACTTTGAAGCATGTAGAGCCGGAAATGGCTAAGACGCACATTTCTCAATCTCAGGAGAATGATGTCAGACAAGAATTAAATCAGAGAGCTTGTATGAAAAGAATTAGCAACGTCAAAGAAGCTAAAGATGTGTGAAAAGATCATTTTTTATGATGCTTGGTTCTCATCTGTATCTGAAAGGGATCCTGCGTAAAAGGAAGTAGAATATATAGATAGATAATCTATGTTGCTACTAAAATGTCTCCTAATCAGATAGTAGTAAACATGGTGAGGCAATAACAATGCTGCTGTTACAAGTGATATATATATAGCAGGCCGAGGCGACGCTATTTATATGCCCGTCCGCACACCGGTCAACGCAAACCGGCACGTCCTCGCATCCAACACTCGCAGTTACACATGGGATATCGAAACGTAAACAATGAGAAACACCATGAAACTAGAAGAAATTTTTATTATACAATAGTAGACAAATGCCAAACAACTGGAGTTAATGTTTTAAAAAGTTCATGTTGGCTAATTCTGCACAGGCAACTTAGATTATTTTTCCTAGATATAACCACTTGTCAGATGTTGCTGTAATTGAAAGCAGTGTAGAACACTTAAAAGCTTTATCGGACCTTAACCTCTTCTACAGTCGTCAGATTGCTACTACAAACGGCTTCATATATATATGTTCAATCCATATTAATTGTTAAGTTTAAAATTGTTTGCAGATATTTATCATTTTATATTCTTTCGATGGTTTAGTTGAATGTTCGTAAATACCTATACCTTTCCTTAGTTATCCCATCCCACTCGACTCATTTTGTAGCGAAGTCATTTTTCGTCAAAACCATTATATTGTGGTTATTAGACGTACGCAGTCTCGGGACTCGTTCGTAAAACAAGTTAAGAACTATTTCCTCAAGGTGGATCTTTTTTCATGCTAGTACTTTGTCTCTCCGTTATTCTGTACTTTTTTCCTCTCTTTTTCTCGTTAAGTATATTTATTAATTAAATGCATTAATTCGCTATATTTGTTCTTGATTGGTATGGTTTCTGTCAGCCAAAGGTAGCTTGGTAGAAATTGCTACCCTAGCAATAAGGCAGCCTTTTGCGTATATTTCTTTTTGTTTTATATGTTTGTTTTTATTGCAATTAAGTATTAATCAATCAATCAATGCCTAATCGATTATGTGACCTGAAACTACGTTAAGCCATTGGTTCCAATTGTAGTATCGTTTCCGCCGGTCGTTAAATCCAGTTCGCAATAACCCGTGGTCGATTATGCTCCTTTTTCGCTACGGAATTCCATTGAAAGAAATGACTTGTGACAAGAATCTTTGTGAACAGTTAGTGGTCTTTGGTTGCAGGACATTGGGAGAAGCTGCCGCTGTGGACTCTGGAGCGTGAGCTGGTGGTTCAAGACATCGCGGAGAAGGAGAGCATCAAGGTGCTTGAGAAAGCAACCGTGCCTATAGTCAAGATGACTGACAAATACTCCGATGTTAAGGTATGTTCGAACTTGGAAACTATCACGAACATTCTGAAATTGCGTTGTTTCGTCGGCATTTCGTCTCAGGCTAAACGAGTACAATAGTAAACATCGCCAGTTTTGTGTATTGTATGTTGTAGGTGTAGATTCACAGTATCCACAGGACTAAATTGGATATTTCGTCAAAAATATAAAGGGTAAATAACCCTTTATATTTTTGACGTAATATAGAAGCAACCAAACGAGTTTGTGAACCCTTACTTATTCTGCGTTCCCTTTACGTTAACAAAAATGAGTAATAAAAAAATTATACTAGTAATATTATTAACTGACAACTTTCACAATTTATGCTTAAATTCGAAATTATGAGAAAACATGGAATTCGACAATCATGCTGTTGCCTAATATGAATGTATGTTTGGCTTTTAATTGAGGTGTTTTTGTTTCCCAGGTTGACATATCGTTCAATATGAGCAGTGGTGTAAAGAGCGCGGAGCTTATCAAACAGTATAAGGTCAGTGGTGGTTAGAGTACATGCGCTAGCGCAGTACAATGACACTTCTTATTTGTAAATGGCGGATTACAAGTAATTTGTTAATGCAAAAATTTTTGTGTGAAAACGTTAGTGATCACAATTTTTTATTATGTAAATAATACATTATTGTTTTGATGCTTCAAAAATATAATACGTTATTTTAAAAGCTCCTATATCGATAAATCTGTTTTAATTAGTCATCATTGTCAGTCTATTATTGTCTCCAATGTTGACCTTCCTTCTGAATATAATTTAAAGAGAATGGGCTATAATTGCCACCAAGCAGTGGTAATCGGTGGTTAATATAAATGAAAAATTTAAAAATAAATGTTTTTAAGGATTTTAATCGTTTAAGGTTGGTAAATGCGGAGTAATACTAATGATGATAGTTATACTAACGGAAAAAAAAAATTGGTTAGAAAAGGTTAGATTACATGAATAAAAGACTCCTACAGTGTTATTAAAAAACAACGCTAACGTTGGAGTAAATTTACGCTGAGACTGCACTTAGTATTAGTTAAAATTTATATTATTAAACAGAAACTTAGCTTAGGTTAACCCAGTACAAGGTTCTACGGGAGTAATTTGTACTAGAAGGTACTCGTAGTAGGTTTGCTTATTCTCAGTATCATATGAATGTGGACTAATATTGCAATTTTAGCGTAAATTATACCTATAATTACAATATTGAAGAACTCAACAGTGGATTTGTACAATCAATTTTAAATATATCTTTTACTTTTTTGAAATAATAAATCACTGATATCTAGATGCAACTCACTGTATATTAGAAACAAGTCTTGAGATTCTTATCTGCAATTACTATTTACGTGGTGACTAACTCGCATGTTTTATATAATCGACAGGAAAAGTATCCGGTCCTCTCCAGGCTGGTGATGGTGCTGAAGCAGTTCTTGCTCCAGCGCGACCTGAATGAGGTGTTCACGGGCGGCATCTCCTCGTACTCGCTCATCCTCATGTGCATCAGCTTCCTGCAGTTGCATCCGCGCCCCGAGCGGCTCCGACAGCCGCACAACCTTGGCGTGCTGCTAATCGAGTTCTTCGAGCTCTACGGCAGGAAATTCAACTATGTCAAGACGGCTATAAGGGTCAAGAATGGAGGCTCGTACGTTTCCAAGGATGAAATACAAAAGGTACGATTTTTTTTAGGATTCAGCACCTTTTTAAGGTTTATTTCCACTTATGTGTTTGAACAACCCAATTTCTTTTTGTATTTGCTGCCCCATAGATTATAAAAACGGAATCTTTCTTAAATTATATCCATCCTGGTCATGAACCTTTTGGTCTTAGGTAAATACGCTGCTTTTTATCATGGCAGTTTTTTAACTGTGATGTAATTAAACTGAAAATAGAGAAAGGACTTTGGATCTCACTTTTATACTGTAATGGTAGACAATGAGTTTAGATGATATATCATATTATTAAAAAATATACAGTATTTCTTAATAGGTTTAAGAGTTAATTTACTAATTCAAATTTTTCATACAGTGGTTGGTGTAGGTAGATTGATTTGGGGTTATTTATCTAAAAAACATATATTAATATGGACATTTCTTCAGAACTCATCGATTATTATATTACTTTTTTGTAGAAATGTAGCATGATTGAAGTAAAATACATGATTTCAAATATTAAAATTGCGTAGCAGTATTACCACTACATAAACAATAGTCAGTTCAATCCGAAAATACTTTCTGGAAAAAGTCTTATCTATATTGTTCTATCTATGTGCATTTATGATACAAGTTTAAAAAAATATCAATTGACCTATAATGACTGATGATTAGTAGGATTATTTTTAAATAATGCGTTTAATGTTTGTACATTTATAGGAAATGAACGACGGACATCGTCCTTCGTTGTTGTGCATAGAAGACCCTCTCACTCCCGGCAATGATATAGGACGCTCCAGTTACGGAGCTATACAAGTGAAACAGGTGGGTAACAAACATTTACATGTTCTTTTAAATGTTTTTTAAACAACATAACACCATATAAACTGTGTGCGATACTATAGAAGATTTACATAGTGACAATAATATACTGTTTTATGGATATGAAGGAATGCAAAAAGGTCCTGCAAGCCAATTCTGCTAATGTTTACGTAATAATCGCATCTCAATAGAAACTCAACGACTTGCATTTTACCATTGTGGTAGATAGCCTGAAGTCTAATATTATTACATATATTTAAGCTTTGCTCGATTTTGTCACAGTACTCATGTTTATTGAATTGTGACGTCAATAATCGAAATGTCACATGACTGATTATATTAAAATATGGATTTCCATTATTTAATAATAGTGGTTTAATATGATCATATAAAGTAAGCAATTGTCTCGCATTAAGCGTTACGGTAACAGAGATAAAGATTAAAGTGAAAAGGTTTAATTTAAAAATATACATCGCTGGAGAACATGTAACCTCCTTTTGAGTTTTGAAGTTCATCATCATCATCAGCTATTTACGTCCCCACTGCAGGGGCTCAGGCCTTCCTTATGGATGGTTAAGGAGAATGGTTCATGACCCTCCACGCTGATCCAATGCGGATTGGAGGATATTAAAGACTGCAAATGCAGCCGGGACCAACGGCTTAACGTGCCTTCCGAAGAACGAAGTAGCTCGAGATAATATTTTTTTGGTCACCCATCCCTTGACCGACCCTTGCGGAATTTACTTAACAACAACGATCACGGGCTGCGGCGCTTTTCCTCTACGCCATGTTTTTTTAAAGTTGGTTAAAAATATTTTAAATAAAACAAGAGTTGTCTCTATGTCCTTTTATATTACCTTGTTGTAATGTCCAGTTTATTGAATTGTTTCAAAACGTTATATGAGATTAATATATATACATAAAGTTTGCACATTCATTACATCATTGGAGATGTAAAATCTAATAAAATGACTTTCAAAAAGGGTTGCTTTATGTTGGTTCGCGTTGTTGACGAAATTACCAAAAATTCAAGAATGTAAAACAATTTGATGCAGGCGTTCGACTACGGGTACATAATCCTACAGCAGGCGGTGGGTTGGGGCGGGCGCGGGTCTGGCGGGGTGGGCCTGGTGGGGCGGCACAGCGTGCTGGGGCGCGTGGTGCGTGTAACCGACCACGTGCTGCAGTACCGCCGTTGGGTGCAAGACACCTTTCAGCCGTACTTCTTCCCGCGCGCGTACCGACCTCTTCCCGCCCCCGGCCCCGCTCTTACGCCCGCCCCCGTGCCCGCCCACACCCCCGCCCCGCCCAGCCGCGAACCGTCCACGCCGCCAAGTGACAGCGACGTGAGTATATCTACACATGTAAAACGACGAGTATTAATAAGCTGTTTGTTGCGTTATTTTACGGAATATGAGTCCTGCAAATTACTAATGCACTCGAATATTGTCTTTATGACACCCATAGCTATTTAACTCATATCAATATATATAATATTTTATTCATTATAAACTTGCGATTGGCGTCGTATGGGTAGTAAAACACGTTACAATTCGCATTAAGTTCCGTCATCAGTGTGACAATCGCACTGGAATAACTGCGATAGCGCCTAGCATAGTCATTCAAATATAAAGTGTATAATATTGCAACATTACGCATGAAATTCTGAAGGTAACTAAAGTATTTAGTTGATAAAGATGAACGTTGCATTCATTTGAACTGTATTATAGTATAGGTAAACAGAAGTAGAATTTGTTTATTTAATTTCTCGTAATTTAATATGTTACTAAAACATTTGATTTTGTAAATGAAATAAAATATATTTTCTTGTCGTATTGTTAAAAAAATATTGAGTAGTTTATGAAATGTATGCTTTATTTGTAGTCGTCATTGGTGTAATTATCAAAATTCGTATCTTATTTACATTAAGTCGAAGAAAAAATGAATTTATTACGGCGTTTCATTAGGTCGTACTAACGTGTTAATTACAGCATTTTATATCAGACTACGAATTAGTTACGTATAGGGTTACCACCCGTACTTTGTATTAAAGTATTGTACTTTATTTCAGACAATTGTACTCTATACTCTATGATAACAATAAACTACACGGAAATACTTTATTTCGCATGATTTGATTTCTTTGTGATTTTGAAACTTAATCGTAAGTTTTTTTTCGTTAAACAAAATATATCGATTCATGCTGAACAAAAAAAAAAAAAGTTCAATAATAAAGAAAATAAATAATACTTTATTTTGATTCTATGTACTTTTTTCTGCACCTATAATAACTAATGTACTTTGATTGAAAACTAAGGTGGCAACCCTAGTTGCATAGGTTCGGTTTAGAATGTCCGTTACAGACAGGTCTGTATTTAGTTTCGTCATGATTTCAATGGTTGGTGTATCGTGTAACAGGAGTGGTCGGACAGCGGTTCCCCGCCGGGGTCGGGCGTGGTGGTGGTGGAGGCTCGCACGTCCCCCCCGCCGCTGTCGGCGTTGCAGTGCTCGTCGCCGACGCCGCGCCGCGTGTCCGCGCACCAGAGCCTCATCATACACCACATCACCAGTAACTCTGACTTCAACAACATACCCTCCGGTACACAACTTCATTGGCCTATGCTATACTTTACTATATTACTACTGCACTACACTACACTACACTACACTACACTGCACTTTACTACACTGCGTTGTACTAAGTTTCGTGCAGTTGCACTACATTTCGCGCACCAGCGCCTCATCATACACCACATCACCAGCAAGTCAGACTTCCACAACATCCCGGTACACAGCTTACAGTGCAGTGCAGTGCAGTGCACTATACTACATTACACTACGCTACACTACTACACTACACTGCACTGCACTACACTACACTGCACTTTATTACACTGCGCTGTACTAAGTTTAGTGTAGTTGCACTATATTTCGCGCTCCAGAGTCTCATCATATACCACATCACCAGCAACTCAGACCCATAAAACATACCCTTAACTGTGCTGTGTTGAGTTCAGTGTACACGGTATTGAACAGCACTAAAGTGCACGACTCCAACAACATACCCTCCGGTATACAACACAAGCTGTAGTCTTTTTCACATAGCGCGGATACGGTGACGTTTTGGTTTGAAGTGATGAAATAAAAATTTGTATATACAAAAACTCGATATTATTGAGTACATTTCGAATAGAGAAAATAGATTTTGAGTTCAATGTGTAAAACAGGATTTAAGAAAACTATTTATTCATCAACAAGATGAATCGCAATTAGAAAAATATAAATTTGAATATGGTTAAATGGTACGACAATCCGCATAAATATTTCGATTAAAACAATTTTATTGAGACAAACCCTATTTAAAAAAGTTCCAATTTTCGTAACATGTATTGATGTTTTAAACTTTTGAGGATTAGATTTCACTTATTATGACTATTAAAAATCTGTTTGTGTTTTGTTCTGAAAATTTAATTAAAAATGTAATATATCTATACACGTTCAAACTATTTTATGTTACGGCGGTTTCTAATTATTTGGGAAATACAAATTGCGTGAAATGGATTTGTTCACAAACTTCACCGTATCCATGCATTGTGAAACGGACTATAACTACACTACATTGCACTTCACTGCCCTCACTACACTTCACTTCGTAGTCGTATATCGAAGTAGCAAAACTAAGGGTATAATATCGTTCATTGCCTTGTGTGGATGTGTAACAACTAATGGCGGCAGCGCGGAACAGGCGAACGATTGCTGAATTTGTTTGTTTCAATGAATAAAAGTAGATTTTTGTTTCTTAACTTTAATTGTTAGGGGGCGTCCATAAATTACGTGAGGTGTTTTTTAAATTTTCTGACCCTCCCTCCCCCCTGGTGAGATGTTATGAGATTTTATTCAACCGCCTCCCCCATTCCCCAATCTCACGTGAGATTTTTCAAAATGCAATTTGATGAGTACTTGCGAGTATTTACCTTGTTGTAGTATCGAGTACTCAGTACCGAGTATAGCTTTTGAAAGTATCGATACCTACTCGGTATCGAAAGTATCATTCGAACCCTACAAATATGGTGGTTTGACATTCAGTAGATGTATAGCGTCGAAGTATGAATGAAATTATTTTCTTTTGAACGAATTAGTGAATGATCTTAATCGTATACGATTACGCTTAAGATTAAATCTTAAGCATGTACAATCTGGATTAAATGGACAAAAATAGTTTTTTTTTTTATTCAATCAGAAAAAAAAAATGCGTGGTATTTGCCGAGACCCCCCCTCTCTCCAACGTAAGATTAGATGATATTTGCCTCGACCCCTTCCCCCCCTTAAATATCTCACGTAATTTATGGACGCCCCCTTATAATAATGAATAAATTCTTATTTTGGAACAGGCGTGCTGAGTTGCCGCTTATGTGGTGGAAACAGTTTATTCTATTATTTTATATGAAAAATAAAATCCTTGCCAATTTTTTTACTATTACTACATATAACTATTCACACTTCTCAGTTCGCCGCCACCAGTAAACGCAGTGATAACGAGACTTTTGGTGGCAGTTAATTAATTATTATTATCGAATAGCGTATAAACAATACTCGGGATCGCCAGGAGGCCGTTAACCACATGTTACACAAGAAAGTCTAGTCATTTACGAAATTCAAAAAAAAAATATATCTAAACAAATTCAAGATGTAACGCGTCTGAATATTGTGTTCGTAATGTTATTATTGTTGAACAGGCGTGATCCAACGGTACGGAAACGAACAGAAACGTCCCACAAACGCCACACGCAGTTTCCCAAAGCAGCGGCGCCACAACTCGCCCCCCGCCGCCCCCCGGCGTGCGGACAAGCAGCCGCGCCGCCGCCGCGCGCCCACCCATCCCGCGCACCACCACGCGCCGCATCACCTCCCCGCGCACGCGCACGCTCAGCGATGATGCCACGTGCGCGCCCGACGCGCCCCACACTAGCCCCCATCTTACGAACAGTAAGCGAACATAACTAATATTAATAATATAAACACTACCTATAAATTATATTATTGTAATAGTTTTTAATATTGTAAATATAATATTTTTCTTTTGGAGTTTACGTGAAATTGTTAATGTAATATCGTCTAGTTTTAAACTTTGAGATACTCTTTAAGTCTTGTGTGTGAGAAGAATGATTCGAAGTTTTTGTTTACGAGAACACTTTGTTTTTTTTTCATAATAAAATTGTTTAGATTTTTTTTTGTTGGTAAAAGTAAATTCTAAAGATACTGGACTTTGCCTTTTGGTTTGTTTATGTTTGCGTTTGTTCTCGTGGAGAGGAGGAGATTGCGTTGTGTCGAGTTAGTTAGTTGAAGAGTGAGTGATAGAGGACTCTGGTGACGTCACGTCCCGCGGTCCAAAAACTGTATACAGAAACGATTAATTTATTTTTCTATAAATAATTAGTAAAATAATTAAAAAAAAAAATGCAAGGCTGTAGACTGAACCGGTGTAGTTCAGCTCATAAATTGTGTATACTTTGGAGTGAATGATTATATAATGTGACAGGTACATAAATAAATAAGTGATAAATTGTAACTATGATGTAAGATGTATTGTACTTGTAACATTATATGTATACATGTAGAAGTTTGTAACACCTGGATTCTGCCCAAACATACATACATTAATTACTGGGAGAAAGTATTTGATTATCTGTGAATACTTCTTCCATGACCTGGAAAATAAACAAAGAGAGATATAAAAAATGCTTGAAAAGTAAAAGCAATTATTCAAATTATCATTTGAATGGATTTTATTATAACTTAGGAAACATTCAGATTGGAATTAATAAATTTCTCATTTTCAGGCAAACCTTTTTCGAATGACAATTAGAATTCATTATATTTAAAGGTTGCTGCCTTATTTAATAATCACACTGTATATGTCATAACAGCAAAGATTTTTTGAGTTTACCATTTGTCATTCAAAAAGAGAAATTCAGCCTTATATAGTTATTGGTATACAATCAAAGTATACCAAAGCATGAATTGCCTGTTTTATCTTTATAATTGGCCATAGATATAGAAATGAAAAGAACGAAAAATATATGGACCGATTACATTTTGTATGGAACCGTGACTGTATAATTAGTAAATACGTGTGGTATCTATGTAGTAAAATGACTACTTCCAGTGTGAAGTGGCTGATATAGTACATTTGTATGTTGACTTGATGCAAATAGTTTTCATCTTTGACAAAACCTAATGGTTTTTCTATTGATTTAATGCCATATTCTGGGTTTTAGAATTATATATACCATGTATAGAGCTGAATGCTTCATCATATCAAGTGGTTAATAATAATATTAGAAGTCCAGATCACAGTCATGTAGCCAATGTTGAAATGCACTTTGAATGTGCTTGAATCTTTCCTTAGTTCCCATTAGTACCTGTGATCAGTTCGACAGTAGTGAATTTTCCACACTTTACTCCGACTATTACCGCAGTGTCACCTTAACCAGTGAATTTTATCATTTGTCATTTTAAAAATATATTTTATTGACAGCACTTCTAATTCATTTGACATTTTATTTTATCTACTTTCTAATTAGGACGTCTTTTGGCTGCTAAAGAGAATGGTTGTAAGAAACTCACCAGCTCCTTACAGAAGTAACATTTACATTAGCCATGTCCACACTACACCAACATCAATATAAACAGTATTAATTAATTAAGCCAAACTCTCGCTTAATAATATTTCTGAGACGACTGTGTATTGATTACTTGCGCGAGAATAAATAGTAGAAAAAGGTGACTAGTAGTGAAATTCTATATTTAGTTAAAAATTCTCACAGAGCTTACTTTCTGTGCCATCTACTACTATAGTATAGTTCTATTTATTTTACTTATATAGTAAAAGTATAACTAATGGGAATTAAGAATCATTAACTAATCTGTAGAACTATACAGTAGTATCTATTGGGAGAAACGGAATAATTTAATAATTGACGATCGAATTACTAGTGAAGTTGATTCAAACAGTAATATTGTGATAGTTTAGGAAGACAGGACAGGAAATATGGAAGCCAAAATATATTGGGCCTAATTACCTAAAGAGACCTTACCATCTCGGTTGGATTTGTTAATTTTTAAGAGTAAGTCACAAAATGATACTTGCGATAATTTTTAGAGCACGTATGTTTATCTTGTAATAATATTTATTTGTACGAAAGATAATTCGTTAAAATTTGCGTAATACTATCAAAAATTTGCTAAGGTTTTTTTATTTGATCTTTATAGTAAATTTGTTTGCAAGGAATATTTAAAATTATTAATTTAAAAGTAAAAGTAACGATTGGGTTAAAAACATGCCTTGCTGTTTTGATTATAAAAATAAAATATTGAAATGATAATATTTATAATATAATAAGTTAAGTCATTTGACTTAGTTTCAAAAGGAAAGTGAAGAACAAAAATTTAGCCAAGGCGTATTCGTAATATAGTTGCTCATAGCGTTTACATCACAGAGGAAGTTTGAATTCTATTCGTAAAGACGTGAAATTAATATAGGTCTTCCCCACAGAGTGACACAGTTATATTTAATGCTAATCTTATACTTATTCCATGTAAATTAAGGTTCAATTTGCGTTTAGTCTCGCGTAGATGTGTCTATGACTGTAGCACGCTGCTGGTGCTTCGCGACGAACGACATTGTACTAAGAAATTGCTACCGAGTAACTTTTACGACTTTTGTTTTGTTGTAAAATAGTATCGTCTACATCACGTAAGCTTGAAGGTGAATTTTGTAGATAAAATCTTTTTACAAAGTATGCAAACACAGACATAGTGAAAACATTGTAGCTATTCCTTTAGGGTGAAATACTAGTAGGTATTGTTAATAATTGGACACTTGTTTAATAATAATTATAATAATCATTTGCACAAAATTTTTTTATTCTTTGTTTTTGAATTAACTGATGTACTCAGATATGCCAATAAATAAACAATAAAATGTTGAATAAAAAATTACAAACACGTAATACAACGTACAGAAAACGGGTATTATACGCGGTTGATCTGCGTTATGTGCTTGATATAATCGTAGCATGGTCAAAATATGGCACAATGTATAATAACTTAAAAAGTAAATGGCGTCGCGTGTGACAAGAAGAGTAATATTAAAATTACGCCATGCTTTCGAAAGATTGTTTTTCGTTACTGATATTAGCACCAATGTAGGCGATAAATTTTAACAATCTCTCCATCTACGTGGTTTGTATACTGTAGCTATAGCTAGGACAAGTGATAGTGTGTTTGTGTATATAGTTTGGATATCGATTACATAAAAGTACCATGAAGTTAGACATGCAAAATATCATTAGTCGAGTTAAAATGTCACTGTGTTTCCTAAAGCGTTCCAAAAGTTAGTTTCTGCTTGTTGTTTAGGATATAATTAAATAAGTGTTGCTAGGCATTTCGTTAGAAGACGTTTGTCGCGTCGCATCCAAGCGCAAGTGTTACATAGAATGTTCCTCAGTAGCAGTTACTAAACGGACAGATTTATATATTTATATGTTGTCTTACACATTAAGTTTAATAAAATATGAATAGACTTAATATTATTTGAAATTCGATAAAAAAAGCTGTATATTAAGCAATATAAACGTGTTGTACCGTACGCCAGGCTTCCATTGTTACTCTGTGCCTTTAAACCAGTCGTAATATATTTGCAGTGTAGTGACGTAACCATACTGTTTCCACATATCAGCGAATCAGTTTACTATGAAACGTCAAATTAGAACCTTATGTGAACGTATTAAAGTTAAAAATCAAATGGAGAAAACTAACAGCTTTATTTAACCTAGTTTGATATATGTGTATTCCAATTATCAGTTTGCAGTTATCATAAATCGGACACAAAAAAAGCTTCAAATAAGGCATATCGAGGGATACTAGGTATAATCTGATATTGAGTTGTCATCTTTGAATGGAAAAGGGTCGCGGATTATTAATCGTCAAATTTCAATACTTTTCTATCGAATACAGCTGGACATTTAGTATGTCAATCAGTAGGTTAACATTTGCGCAAAGTTTTACTTGGACTGTCCCGGACTCTCTCCATATTTGTAAAAATTCGAGATAAGTTAGTATAAGTGATAACATGAATCTTAACGTCAAAGCAGCTATGTAGAAAAAAATAATAATATGTACAGCAGCACTTCAGGTTACTATAATTTTTTTTCAATCATATTTGAATTTACCTAACGTAAGTTTAACATTACATTGGAGTCACTTGACCTTTTGTAGTAACTCAATGTGCTGCCTATTATTCACAATGTCTGATAACAGTGACACCAAGTGGGCAACTACCAATATTATAAACAGTAGTGGTTATTTTATAGTAATAATATCCCTATTACACAATGGATTTTTAATTACCTGAGAAAGTTTTGATTCTTTTTTTAATCATTATATTTGATCAATTTTAAACCATATTTTTTCATGAAGGACAATGCGTTTAGGGTTATAAATAATAATGCTATATAAACATCCAGTCGTAAAAAATGATATAGTAATATTTTTTTAAATATTTCTCTGTATATTTTATGAAAGTCATGCGGTTTATTATGTAATAAACAGACAACCGAGTTATCTTTGAATCATAATAGCCATAATGATTCATCATATAATGTTAATGGCTTGCTTTAAAAGTTTTATTCCTTTTTTAACGTTGAAATACTCCATAAAAACATTACCAGCCAGTTCTATATTGACTATGGATCTATAATAAAATTATCAAAATTGCATCATATTCTCGTAAATTTTTGACAGTTCATTTTATAAATGATATGGTCATTAAGGTCATTGCACATTATTCTGACTGTAATCAGAATAAAGTACTGACATTAACTTTGGTAACAATCAAATGTAAAAAAATATATCGTGAGTAGGATGATATAAAGT